TTAGACTTTCCATTCTCCCCATCCGCCCCCCCCCCCCACCCGCACGTCAATAAAGTCCTGCTCAGTAAACACAGTATCTCTAAAAAACCGCTTGTCCTCCACCTTCAGACTGCTAGCCTAGGTAGCCTTAGCGATGAGTCCTCCAACAGACCTGGGATTAAACGCATCCGTTCCTTGTACCCTTCTACCCTGCTGCCTATGATAGTATGACGACCAACAGGATGCTTCCAACTTCCACAAGAACCACAAAGAAGTACATAATAACCCCCCTTGGGGGACCCCCATAGTCTCACCAACAATCTCGAGTGTCTATTGGCCTTTCCCCATTCATCCCTTCCAGCCCTACCTGTCAGCACTCAGCACTCGAACCACCACCACCACCTGGGAAACTAGACCCCCATAGTGTCATGGTGTTCTCAGACACGAGCTGCTATTTGTAGAGATTTCTTGACCACTAAACGAGCGTTAATGACACTCTCTAGGAATTTTTGAACAGTTTGAACGCGATTTCAGGTAGACTCGTGTAGAGAGACACGTTTTCGTGTTAGGAAGGAGTTCGGGAGACTTTGTGTTTGGTTAATGGAAGTGAATCTTCACGGTTATAGTTGGAAAGAATCGTCGGAACTATTCATGCCATGACAGTAACGTATTCGACCATTAATTCCGCGCGTCCTCGTTTACCAGCAAATCGAGAACTTTCTTCTGCAACAATGGCGAACGTAGCAGTATCGCGTTTACTATTTGATATTGGAATGATAAAGCGAAATGCGTTCTCTGGCATACAGAAAGTAGACTCCTTCTTCTCTGATCATTAAATAATAACAATGATATAAGAACATCTCCGAGCACGATGTAATTATAGGCAGGAGAAAAGGTTTTTAGGGTATTAGTAAAAGAAACAAGTCTCTTTTCATGGTACTAACCCCGTAACCCAAACCAAATACCTATTTCTACGTATATACAGGGTGTCCCATTCGAACGGAGCCACTTGGACATTTGCGATACCATTGACGATGCTGACAAAAGTTACAAACATGGATTGGACTTTTCTAATCCCAAAATATTAATTACCTATCGTACCATAAGTGATTTAACTCTTCGCACTCGACGATTTTTTGGCTAGAGAAGAGTAGAAAATCAAAGATTCTCTATTAAAATACTGACGATACTTTTTCGAGCAGTAAATAAAGAATTTTATAATAATAGAATTGTAGAATTATTTGATTTCGATACCTCGCACACTGTTACATTACATTGAATTTGATATATTAATTAATATCGATCTTCCAAATTTCACGAAATGGTGACTGAGCGTCACCTCTCGAGTGCAAAGGGTGAATATTTTCCTATTTAAAAAAATTACGAACTACACCAATTAATACATCAAGGAAATAAAATTGACGTTCATATGACTGCTATAGTACCAAACCATCCAATACCAAAAAATTTATTTAAATTAAATTACGCGCTTATCAAGACCACCCAACGCCTATGTCAAATATTGTTTTAGCAATTCATAACTCGTTCGACTGAGTAGACTTAAATTGAATACCCCGTACACGTTCCATTATTCCCAAATTATAAACTCAGCGTTTTCGTTTAGCATTTCATTTAACACCTTTCTCACAAACTCGCCGGAAGTTTAGGTCAATGCCGGCGTGTAGCTTCACACGTTAGAATCGCGATGAGCGTCTAACCCAAAGCGTCCGATCTTCTCGTCGCACTTGCGCGCTGCAGGGGTTCGGTTTCCATCCCATTGTCAGCCGCGGAACACGTCCCCAGAGGCGACTGTGAATTCACCTGCGTGCCGCGAATGTGGCACGCGCTTTAGCACTGTTCGCCTCGGTGCACCGCGACCCTCGCTATGGGATAATCGCGAAGTAGGTAAGCGAGCATCGAGGATGCGTCGTTGTCGCATTAGAGATGCGTTAACCTCGATCGAGCGCGCGCTAGTGCTGCCGCGAGATCGGCACAGTGACATGTTCCATTTGATCGATACATTTTCCCAACCACCCTTCCAAATTTTAACCTCCAAAATCACCGACGAACTACAACTCGTGAGAAATTTTGACTGAACTTTTCTCTTGAAAATTAGGTCTACGCCAGTGCCTGAAATTGTCTGATTAAATGAATCTTTACTGAAATTAACCCTCTGCGGTTGGTACAACTTTAAGCGTTAATTATTAATTACTACTGATGTCTAATTCCATTTTCTCATGTGTATCCAGACGCAAGGACCACCCTGTATGTTAAAAATATATCGAACATCCGAATATCCGTTTGTAAAATATAATATAGTCATAGTTTCAATAAATGAAATAAAATCGAGATTTTGACCTACTGGGATAAAATCGGAGTCCCAGAATATGGGACCGCAAAGGGTTAGTTAATGGAGTGGAAGTGGAGTTCATACAGGGTGGCAATTGTGGAAGGAAGAGAAAAAGGTTGCATGGCCAGTGTGATCTAATAAATCCTTGGCTAAGTAGACGTTTCCCTCGTGGTGGACACGCCGAGTTAGCCTCGGCAGAGGCGGAAGGCGGCGAGTGAAGGTGAGCACTGGCAGCCTGGTGCAACGGACGAAAAAGATGCAACGAGGATGGTAATTTGCTGGCGTTGTTACGCGATTCGTTGCATTGTCTCGAAACCGCATACCGGGCAGCCATTTTAATTACCGGCCGTCAAACGAGCATGTACCTCGGGATTCTCGGCGAAACAAACCGAGACTATCCCAGCGCGCAATCGCTGCAACTACTGTTAAATGCAGATACAAGAACTGAAGCGAATGTCGAACGAGCAACTATCTCGACTCGATAATCGATCGCGAAGAGAGATCCGAGGAGCGTTGGAAATCGCGCGAACGATCAGATACAGTTCACTGGCAGCGAATCCAGACCACGATCTTAAAGGACGTAGGAGAAGACAGCAAAGGTGGAAGGGACAGGCGCGAGAGTTAAGGCCGCGGTCCGTCCGCGACCTAAAACTACTTCCAAGCGTCACGACGCTACTCTAGGGGTCAAGAGGGTCACCGTGCCAGGCACTCCAATAGGATGCTTCCTTTTGCACCGTGCCCCTACTCCTGCCCCTTAGACATCAGCGAAACCTAACGCGAGTCAGGTCGTTCTAGCTTCCTCTATCTCGATCTTGTTGCTTCAGTGGGTCTGTGTGTCAGAATGGGTCGCGGTGCGAGAGAATCCTCGGCGCGGGGGGACGAGCAGCGAGGAGCGAGATGGCACATAGGATGAAGCGAGTACGACCTGGTGAATCGACGGGGAGAACGGAGAACGTTGGTTGTTTAGAGGCCGTCGAGGGGACGTTGTCACGTGTACCATTGGTACGTGCGCGGGCTGTTGGCACGGCTCCTTACGTGGGAGACAAGTCAGCCCGGTGCGCGAGGGATGGCGGTTAGCTGGATGGTATATATCCGTCCGGTGTTCTGCTCCTGCCGCCAGTTCCCTCTTTGGATCCTGAAGCCCGAGGAAGTGCGCTCAGTGATCTTCTCTTCTCTCGTCGGTGAATATACACGTTCCTGTGACGTTCCGCTCTGCGCCGTGTTCGCTCCCCCGTCGAGGATTACCGAATCGTTGAACCAGCAAACGCCACGAGGATGATTAATCCTTCCAAGTGTGTGTTCGTCTTGTTGGCGTGCTGTGCCGTCTGCTACGCGACGTCGGAGACCAAGGAGGACGACAGTCTGGTGGACAGAGGCTTCAGGGCGATGTACAGAGTCTACGAGGACTGTCAGCACAGGAATATAGCCATTTCCCCGTGCCTGAAGAAGAAGGCTATCGGATTCTTCGAACGGTTGGGCAGAATGCGCACTCTGCCACTGTCGGACAACCTCGAGCTAGTCAGGACCACTGACGAAATGTCGAAGAGCTCCGTGTCCGAATTGGAGACCACTCTTGGCAGGACCACGTCCAGCAAGGACGAGATTCTGAACGAGATCCTGTTCGATCGCGTGGCTTCCCTGTTGAACAGTTTCAACATTCAGATTCGATTGCCCAGGACTAGTCCCGGTGAGCTGAAACGGGGCATGGAAGAAGGGCGTGGCAAGATGAAGAAGATGATGGGCATGATGATGATGGGAATGGCTATGAAGATGGCCGCGCTGATCCCTATTGCTCTTGGAGTGCTGTTCCTGTTGGCTGGCAAGGCTCTGATCATCAGCAAGATCGCCCTGGTCCTGTCTCTCATCATCGGGCTGAAGAAACTGTTGAGCCAGAAGAGCAGTCACGACCACGGTGGCTGGCAGCAGAGCGGCGGAGGCTGGGATAGGAGTCTGAAGAACGTGTTGAGCTCCACGGAGACATCGACGACCGAGCTGACACGGGAGTACGCGCAGAACTTGGCCTACTCGGCGCGACATCAGCACTGATTGCAGCGTTTCAGGGGCAAGGGAGGCCTTCCGGTTCCGTTTGGTGCCCGTGGCGCCTGAATGGCAGCTGTTCTACGTTCTAGGCCGACACACACGCATTCTCCAGCGCATTATCGTTCATTGCACCCGCGATTCTACAGTGACGACGCGATTTTCTTTGTTACATAGAGAGAAGTTCGTTGATCGTTGGATACTTAGAGGTTCTTCGTCGAAGGGAACGCTATAAACTCGAAAACTTACAGATACTCGAGAGTCATTAGAGTTCAATCTTCGGTTTACAACCTTCCACGAAGGACGACGAGTCCCTTCTTCAGTTCCCATGTACATTGTTCGATTATTTATAAAGAATCACGAAGATCATCTCGCTCTTAGACCCCGTTAATTATCCCTTTGCGTAAATTATGCTTTGCTTAGTTGGAAATTTAGAAGCTAGCTCGGAAAATCAGCCAGACGAAATGCACCGAATTTTTAGCTTAACGCGCGAGACGAGCATGACGGTCGTTACCTAAACGTATACCATGAATGTCAACGACATACGCGAGCAAATACGCCGTCACGCTATAGTCGGACATACCGTCGTAATCTAGCTGCCACTCATTTTCGTTCCCCGTCAACCGGGAAATCATTCGACACGATAATAGCTACGCAACCATTTGCACACACGCGAGTTTCTAACGGAACCGAGTAGAGGGATTTTTGCGCGCGAGACGACTTGCAAAGAGCGAAAATATTAACCTCTGCGTTCCGATTTGCAGTCGTTTCTCCGCAAACTATACTCATCCTCGTGCCCTCGAATAGTTTAATTACCTAAGACACGGATTATTTATTGTTAAACGCCATGATTATTTATCGTCAGTACGCACACTGTTAATCCCACATTGTAACAGCGACTCTCGCGATGGATCAAGACTGAGATCGAAATAAAGAGGCACGTGATCGACGTGAATAAGGAAGACACAACGGTTTAATCATTTTCATCGCTTATTCTTTCGCTACACCAACGAGATACATAATATGTTACATTGTTACGCCTATGCCCGTTAGAAGAAGAAGGCAAGATCGAGGCAAGATGGCGCGCGCCAGCGTGTCACGGGATAGGGATCTCGAAACTGTTTCTATCGATCGCACTGTACACCGAAATCGACAGCATCGACCTCGCCCCACGTTGTCGATGTTGCTTTCCTCGCGTCAACGTTTCGTTCAGTGCGTTTTCAGACCTAGAACCGCGGCAAACAGCGCGAAGAAGAAGCCCGCGAGCAACGCAGTGGCCTTTAACAGGATTAACCCACCGACCATGGTTGGAATCAGAGCGACGAACTTCAGCTTGTAGGCCATCAGCAGCGCCATCATAGTGCGGTCCATCTTCCGCTTCCTTCGCCGAGGACGGTCTGAAAACCATTGGAAGGGATAATTCTAACTCCTCGTCCATTGCCGCTTCTTTTCCATCGATCACACTATCGTGGATCTAAGAAAATCGTTATCCACGAATCGGTTTTTCTTCGCAACTAATCACCGTGTCTTGCCCCATAAATCCTCTGTATCTTTCATCGCGAGTAATCAAAAATTAATAAATAAAGTTAAAGATTGGACAACTATGACAACTGTGTGTCGTTATTTAAATGGAAACTGCTCGAATAAATTAAATTATTAGGTGTTAGAAATTTGAATAATTCTTATGGAAAAGGTTCTAATTTAAATTAATGCGTTGATTAATTCATTTTTAATTGAACACTGTCAGTCGTTGAATTTAATAAATATTAAGAGAAATTTCTCGAGGTAAAAGTAAGATTCGATATTACCTGACTCGTGAAGATAGTCTTTGGACAAACCCAAGCCAGTATTCTTGACTCGAGTCTTGGCCACTTTCCTTTTATCTTGTCTACGCAGAAGAACCGCGCTCTGAGCTGCAACCTTGCTATGAACCTCCTTGATTACCTTCCTCCCAACCGGGTACTCCTTCTGGTTCCCATGTTTCTCGTCTCGCAAGCCTTCCAACGTGCGTACCAAGTAGCTGAGCGTTAACAGAATCGCGACTAGATTCACTCTCGATTTCATCTTCCCGACAAGTTCGCGCGAATTCTGCCCACGATTAGACACGACCCTCAATTACATCCTCGAAGCCGTCACGAATTCCTCGTGCCCCGATGATTCTCGATCGCATTCGAGTTATTAGACCTTCTTCCCTGTTCCGGTGATCACGACAGACTCGTTTCTTCCAATACTGCCCGCACCATGACTTCTCTTAATTGTCTATTTCAATGTTTCTGAAAGCGTGAAATGGTGACTAAGTTTGGCATCCCACTAGAGTAGCTCGAACCATAATAAGAATATTAAATTTTCAAACCCAGACGCCCGGTGAACTACGCTAAGAACCTAAACGATGTCAAAATTATTCAAGAAAATTTTCTCATTTATCAACTTAGAATCCCTGGAATTTTAAAACTGGGACGCGTTAAAGGTACCAGTACCCGTGATCTTCAACCCCTAAACTGAGACACGTCAGTATCACATACACGAATCAAACGACTTACGTCTCCGTTTAGACCCTGAATCCACTGGCAGAAGTTTGCGAAGGTCTCCCCTGTCAACTATTTTTCGTGGGTTCCTCGGATCTCTCGTGGGTTCCTTAGATTTCTGATAGGTTCCTCAGATCTCTCATGGATTCCTCAACGTCCACCAACGTCTCGGTATGATATCTTCCGAGAAGATTGGCGATGTCAAGCGGCGACACTCGCGATCCCGAATGACACTTGGAATGCAAATGGTGGACGTTATCCGGTTCGTAACGGAGTGCAACAGCGAGCAACCGCGACCGCGAGCTAACTGATGCGCTCTTGATTCCTCGACGACGACCCGAGAGGGGCTGGCCAGGGTACCACGCCGGGCACGCTTCAGTTACCAGCTGGATCGGCCGTCCGTGAAAAATGAGCAGCGTGCGACGTGGCGGCAATATATGCGTACGGCATGCTACGGGCCAAATTGTCGACGACGATATATGTGTCAGGTTATATTGTCGAACGGTACAGAGGATTGCCCCGACGAAGGCAGAAAGCGCGGGGTGGAGCGAGCTGGCCGCGTAATCACACGTTCAGGAGGATCTTGCGATGTGCACGATGACTTTTGAGTTACGCTGAGCTGCTAACCGGGCCGATGACAAGTTGACTGATGGGACTGATCGATGGGTGTCTCGATTCTGGCTAGGTCGATCCGCCATCTTATCGCGCGGATTTATAGACGGTTCCGGGGTAGGGATTGGGGACGAAAATTGGAACGGGTGGGGTTGGAAGGGTTGGAAGGGTTGAAGATCTTTTACGTAGCACGATGGTGAAATCTAGAGACGAGAAAATTGGGGTGGAGGGCTGACACGTGTCACGGAATCTATTGTTCCTTCGATTGACAGCGGTTTGGTGTTTTTGGTATCAAACAGGTGCCATTTTCGTGGAAATCGAGTTTCTAGACACGAGCTCTGTCCGATGCAGTGATTTAGTGCACTCGCATTTTATGGAAACCTGCCAGATTTCAGTGTCATTTTATATAGACGCTGTTATGGAAAGTGGTTCAACCCTGAGCGATGCGTTGCAACGTTATTATTCCGTTTTGCTAATTGGTCACCTGTATTATATCGTAGATAAATGCGCTTTCTAAATCCTCTTTCTCGTGCCTTCGGATAATAACGAACGTGACACGTGAAAATCCTCCTAACTTATCGCACATACCGTTGGAAAAGTGGCTAGCAATATGGGATGTCTATCGTATGGGTGACAATTACTGGGTCACTTAAACGTTTAACAAATGAAATAAATGGAACACGCGAAATTGAAATCCATTCTTAAATATTCGATCAGTTCTTTGATTACCAAAAAATGGTCACGGGGTCAGAAATGTAGTGTTACGTGATACTTTGACGTAGGAATAGAGGAAAATAGACGTGGACGCACTTCTATTCATGTGCCAGCTGAAAGAACATCGTAACGCTCCTCGAGGAAGCGTAGGGCAATTTCCTAGCTTCCTGCGCGAACACGGGGACGCGAATAATTGCACGAGAAACGGGACAAGGCGGCAGAAGGAGGGGAAGGAATAAAAGAAAGGGGAGGGCGAAAAGCCTAGGTCTACGAAATCATAGTCATCATTGCGGTCCTCTTTCGTTCTTTGTTTCGAGCGTTGCATGTCGCCGTAATGATCGATATTGCGCTTTATTTTCAAAGGAGGATAACGGTCGGGTGTTGTCCACGTTTAAATAGCGAGGAACACGAACACGGTCACCAGATGCTTCCGCAAAAACTGTCGGAAATGGCCCGATAACCAGGCCGATCAGGGTTTCATTTCACAGAATTCAATTAGGAAGACGAACTTCCCGTACCTTTTTCCTCGTCGATCCTCATCAAATAACTGTTCTTGCCGTTTCGTTTCGAAGCAACAAACTCTCCATCTCGTGGCTCGAGATGAAGCAATAAATAATTCAATTAGAAATAGTCGAAAGATTCGTTGCGAGCACGCAACGTGGTTAAACAGATCGCGTTTTACGGTCAGAATTAAAAAAGCTATCTCCCGATTTCTAATTATTCGTTGATTTAGCGAAACACGCGATGAAAATTTACGAACAGTTCTTCTTAGCTGATCGCGCCTTCGTTTAATCAAGATAACGTCAAAATCTCTCTTTTCAACGAAATCTCCAAGCTCTAGAGATTGATCTAGCATCCTTCCTTCTTTTCTCAAGAGGAGTCATCGTAGTAGCCTTCCATTGGATAAATTAATCAATAATTGCATCGATAATTAAGTACCTATAATTGGACATAGTTCGTTCTCAAGATTACCCAAATCCTTTCCTTTCCTTTCCTTTCTTCTCGTGATCGTTTTCGTTTCGAGTCCCATCGCCATTATCGTTCTCCACCCTGGCAAGACGAGACCCTACGAACGGATCAGACTGCAGTCGTCCAGATGTATCGGTTACTCGACTGTGAAACGAACCTCGATCAACGATCGAGACCAGTCTCCACACTCTCGCGACGATCTCGACGGAAGCGTGCCGTCATGAACGATCGATCGATCCGTCCACCGCCGCAAGAGTTACCGGGACCAGCGGGCCCAACCAGTGACGACGTCGTCCAATGATCGGAGAGCACACAGACGGAGGTGGACGGGAATGGACGACGAATCCTTCGTCACGCGTCAGTACCAACTTAGATGGTGGTCTCCTTCTCTGGGCTTTTCACGTTCCACCTATATAAACTAATGGTCCGGTCTAGGGCGAATGTCAGTGAACATTTCATTTGCCAGCTGGACGGTACGTCTGTCAACCTGGCCACGCGATTTTCCCAATTCTTCGAGCAACGTTTATTCGAGGACCACAGACTCTGAACTCTCAACTGTGAACTCTAGTGAGACAAATCGATCTTCTGAAGAATTGTGTACCACGTCCCTTGTCGAGACTGTGGAGCATCAGCGAAGATTGGCACTATCGGATGAGACAGAAGGATGCTGCTGCTATTCCCATTGCTCTTGCTGCCTTTGCTAACCTCAACGGAGACCACGCAGGCTACCGTGATGCAACAGCGTTGGATACCTCAGCTGCAAAATTGGAGAAGTCCCGTCGATCGGTTCACTGATGGGATTCTGAACGCTGTTGACACTGTCCTGCCTGTCACGCGAGACTCCTTCGAAGGTACACGAAGTTTCATACATGTAATTCGTCTGAAACAACGATAGAAGTCTGGAATTAATTTCACGAGAAGGATTTCAGACGCTTATTATTTGATAAATTAATTAGAAATTAGAAATTTTTGTTAACGCAAGTTTAACGAAGGATCTTCATAGATGGAACGATTCGGGATAGGGAAATCCGTGCGATCGAGGATGGGGTAATCGAATCGCGTTACCATGGCGTGTTAATCGCTCGCTGGCAAAGCAGCGTGTCATTACACAGGCTGGTTAGCGACGTGTAATAGGTACCATAATGCAAAACTCAACACTGAAGCCATAAATCCTTTCCACTCCAGTTCGCCTTATTACCATGTTCATTTCACGAACGTGACTAATAAGGACCGCTTCCTTCTTGCCTCTGATGACCTGCGTTATCTGGTGCATCTCCAATGACACAAAAACGGTACTCGATTTTATGACGCGATCGATGATCCACGGAGTTTCACGAAGCAAAATAAATCGCGTGCATTAATTATCCAAGAAATCCTAAATTTCCAACCATCCCCCGAATTTTTAAGGAGAAACTCGAGTTCCTCGTCGTCCAATTTCTTGCGTACTTTTCCCTTGAAAATTGCACTTTGGTAGGAAATTTTATTATACTTAAACGTGATATATATTTCCTCAACTGTGTTTACGACATTCCGCACCTTCCACGTCTCACACTCTGTGAAATTCTTATTCTGACCGCATCGAATCGGCATCGACACCTCACCGTTCGCATTTCGATACAGAACAGTGCAGCAGCATGTGGCTAGGAAGCCGTAAAGCTGTAACACGAGGAACGTACATCGAAGCATGTTCGACACGGACTGACTAAACGAACGAGTGATCATTTTTATACATACAGATGCACTGAGCAGTTACGACATACAGAGCGTGAATCCAGCCACGGATGGTTGTCCTGTGCAACTTGTTTTGCCGTATCGCTTGATCCTGCGACGCGGATGCGCCTATGGTCCGTCAGTATGTTCCATCCACGCTTAGTGCACGCTGCTAATTGCTGCGTGATCGTGCAGCGTGGAGAAACGATACTTTACTGCGCCGAAATCAAAAGGAATTGGGCTAATTGCGCGATTATGGAAAAATTGTAATTCGACTACGGAGCAGGCTGTAGATAGAAGCAGGATATCGCGGTGGGTAATGTTCCTTGGGATGAGAAGGATTAACTTCTAACGTCGGGTATCAAATAAATTAGAGATAGGCCTGTTTCGAAGCTTCTTACCTTGGGAAAAATTTATGCCAAGCCCGGAAATTAACCTGCAGAGAAAATTATTCTCACCCTCGCCATTGGATCGACTTCGACTTTGAGGACTTTCTAACAAGTCTGTAAGATTTATATAGTTCTTCTATAGCTCTTCTTTCTAAGTTATATAACTTCGCGATCTTCCAATAGTATCCCTGTCTAAGTTAGAGCATGCTAGGGTCTTGAAATCTTGAAATAAATAAAAATATATATACCTCATCTATCCTCTTCTCTCTCATACTTCTCTCCACCTATTTATTTATTTATTTATTTATTTAGTCCATCCCCCCGCACTTTACCCACTTAAAACCCAAAACTGCATAGTTTTCGTGCCTTTCTATGCATAGACAAATACACATACTGATGTAAGATAGTTCTTAACCACTTGCTCTAGAAAGACGTGCCACGCACATCGTAATGCTTTTTGTCCCAGAATCGTCAACGACGTGGTATACACGTCGTTAGACAATTGTCATAGAAACATTGGACCGTTCTAACACACGCGTCTGTGAATTTCTTCCTAATGCAAATTAAATGTATATTATCCTATAACGATAAGCGTGGTAGATTTAGTTTGATTTTAGATCACGAGTGCTTCACACTGGAGCCATCGATCTCACAGTCTAAGTTCTCATTTGTAACTCTTTTATACGTTTCGGTTCTTTTATATGTATATTATTGTATCTAGTTTCTGGCTCATTAACACTAGAACTACCGATCTTTAACAGGCACCTAACTATAACGTGCACAGATTATAGTAATTTCAGCGATACGATGAATATAAGGGAATATATTGATCACAGTTTTCTTAATATGAGTTGATACCAATTTTATTCTTAAAGTAGGTGATGTGTTTGCATGTATGTGATTGCGAAAAGGAAAATTCTGGGATCAGTCATCTTGACTGGGTTGGTAGTTCTAGTGTTAAACGTATGTTAAATTGGAAAAAGGAAATTGGTCTGTTAGGGTAACATTACCGATGAGTCCACTAGTAGGCGCGGGACGAAGCTCATCCCTCAACAACGTGGGGGTCGGAGGACCCCTACAGACCCTTTAGCCTACGTGCTATCTCCTAATTGCGCGGGCCATAGTAAACAACAAGGTCTATCGCACGTCAAGCCATTCAGCTGTTCAGCCATATCTCGAAATTTGCGCAAAATGTATACTTCTTATGACATGTATATATCGGTGCAACCAAGTACCACCACTCTGACACCTGCATATTGTTAATGACATAAATTCCTCACCACGAGTCTGACTCATAGTCTTCGCCTATGGCACAAATTCCTCGCCACGAGTCAGACACGTGGTCTTCGCTCGTGGCCCAAATTCCCTATCACGAGTCTCACTCGTGGTTGTAGGTCACTGTTATCGTTAATAGTAAACAATGACAGTTGCAGTGGAGAGCTGCGAGTCTCCTTCCGAAATGATTTCAAAGAAGAAACTCGAAATTTGAGTCTAGAGGATCTAACGATCGAAACGCGTGACACTTAGCTCTCCGATGGACGATTGGAAAGTAATCGTTAGGAAACTGCGATCAGATCGAACGAGAAACACTGTCTCCGAACTGAGGCTTCCCCTAACTCCGCCTTCTGCGTCGCTTATACGTCAGGAAGTAGAGAACAGGGTCTTAAAAGCTAGCGTCTTCTTCTTCGGCTGCTTTGTGTGCCACTGGGCCGATCGAGCATCCTCGATTCGAGGTACGTAACGTGTTGCAACCGCGAAGGTCGCAGGTTGCATGCCGCTTGGTGCTATAAAATCCTGGAGAGTATATCTCGCATACGCGAAATTCCGGATCTTCGAGATTTGCTTCATGGAAATTAAATCTGGGAAATTAAAATTTAAATTGTCAGCTACTTTCAACTTCTCCTTTGCACGTTTATCGAATGAAAATGGAAACTCTGAGAGGAATGCATGAAAGAGCAGCCGTGCCTTTCCGTCTATTAGCCAGGATCCTATAACGAATCTCGGCCATTAACATGGCGATTCGAGCGAGGTAACGGAGACCAGACACGTAACAAAAATTTCACACCTGCCGTAGCAGAATCCACGCGCAAATTACACGGAACACCGCAAAATTACAGGATGCACCTTCGCCTTCAGCTCGCCGCTCGATTCACTCCGTCAGAGACTCCCGATGAACAATTTCGCGCATCGGTGAACTCTCTTCTCACCACGGAGACCGATCTAGGGTATCTCGAGGACTCGAGGATTTAACTACGGCGAAATCGAGCAGTAGCTAAACGAGCATCATAAATTCGTGGCTAATGAGCCAGGTCAGATCCTCGTGAGCATCGCGGATACTTGACCTGGATCCAACGGCAGCCGAGTCTGACTCGGGCCTTCGGAGTGTCTCCTTCCGGTCGCTGCTCCATTCGTTTCTGGAAACTCGTGCTCCCGACACTTTTCCACGCAGTCGTCAGACATCGCGTCACGTGCGCTGCGCAAACTCGCGTAAAGTCGTGTAAACAACTTGAAGATAGAAAGTGTTGCAGCTGCATGATTTTCACCCTCGGCACTGGATGGATTCTGGGTTCACGAAGGTTCGAGGATTTTCTCTGAGTTCTCTTAAGGATTTCCTCTGAACCCTCTGTTTCCTATACTATAATATGTATATTTTCAGACTTTCCAATGGTTTCCTTATTTGAGGTAATGACTTGTAGGGACACACGCCAGATGCGGAAAGCGAAGGTCTTTCGTATATTTTCCACTCCTTCGCGACGTCGAGGACTTCAGGTCAATGGGGACCTGGTTTATGTCTTTACAACCAGGGCCCCATGACTCGCGGA